CAAAGCTAAAAACAAGAAAAATAAAACATGTTGAGAAAAATAATAATAGGGAAGAGAAGAAAACGATTACTAGGAGAGCCAGAGTGAGTAAATCTCGTCTAGTACTTTATGAATCACACTCCTTGTCACTTCTGTGACGCTGGCGTCAATTTCTTGCAGCGCGGTCTCTATATCGCGGACATCTCTCAATTCAAACGGATAAGCCTGGGCAACGCCTCTGACTTGAGCCGCTGGTGGTGAAAAACCCTCTAAACGTAAAATTTGCAATAATGTGTTGGTGAAAATGTCCATTCTATAATCTTTTGCAGAGTTCATCATAGTATCTGAAAAAGTAATATTTTTCCAGCAGGAAAAGACATGAATGTCGCCTCTTCGACATTCATGTCTTGACACATTCATGTCTTGACACACATCTTGCCGGTGCTTCTGGATTAGCGAATTAATAAGGTACTTTACGGTTCATTTTGTGAGTTCCATAACAGCCGTGGGGAGTAGAGTCGCCGCCTCATCGCTGTCCACGGCTCTCGTGGTGGTGGAGATCTATGTCTTTGGACTCTCGGAAAAGGGCCCGGCATACAGGGTCGCCCAGAGCGAGGCCCCGGAGACTGAAGTGTTTGCGGGGGTCTGGTCCGGTGATTGCCAACCGAAGGCTGGGCGAGTTTCAGCCTCGAGGTGATGAGGGCGGGGGCGGAGTATCTGCTTCTTAACACATTATATCTGTGCTGGGTAAATCTGGTCAGGAGTGTGTTAGCTGTCTCACCAACATACTGGATACCACATTTACTGCAGGTAATCAAATAAACACAGTTCTTAGAGCGTGGAGTACCGTTACACTGTGAGAGGAACACATTGCCATTTGAAAAGCTGCGCAGCCATTTTTGGTGCTGAAAGAATTGCCCCTGATCTGAGTTTGGGCTCAGAGAAAGGTGAAACTTTTGCCTTGATGAGAAAATCCCTCAGGTTTGTGTTCCTTCTAAAGGCAGCAATTACTTTATAATCCCCCAGCATTTGGGTTTTCTGGAAAAGATTTTGAAAGTGGTTCTTAATCATTTTACCAATTTGCATGTTGATGGGGCATATGTCACAACCACTGGCAAAAAAAGGAGCTAAATCAATGGGTTTGGTCTGTAGGAATGATTTAAGACATTTCCTAAGGAAAGAGCGACAGTACCTTCTAGTGGCGAGAGCTGAGCAGGGATGTGATTGTTCAAATCTGAAATGAAAGTGTTCAGGTGCAACAATGTCTCCTGCTCATTCTGGGGCAGGGCTGATGAAAGGTTAACAATAGGGATGTGGATGTCAGCATCAGGAAACTCTTCCTGGGCTTTCTTCAACGCCTTTTTCAGCTCTGTGACTGGTGTGTTCTTGTCCCTTTGTGACCTGTTGTTTAGGCTGAAGGAGAACACCAGCGTTTCCACTGGTTCATCGGAGTTTGGTGCCGTGGTGCCAATACTTTACCGGCACATCGGAACAGTGACTTCATCACGTAACCTGACCCCGTACCCCCAAATCTAACCTTAACCCCCCATGCTATCACATGGGGCCCCCCTCCGACGTGGACACAGGACTTGATTGCATTGCTCATCTTTATTGATAATTGTATTTCAGGGTGGTTACATGTGGCATTTCATTCAACTCATTCAAGTCTCCCCCTTGGGTGTGCAGTATTGGCGATTCTGGTCGTCGTTACCTTTAGCTTGTTCGTAGTGCGCTCTTGCGTTCAGCGAGGCCTTCAAGGTAGTCAGCCGTCTCTTCTGACCATTTTCAACGACTTCTCGTCCGACTACAGTGCAGACGACTTTCTCCATGGTAAGTTCTTTCACAAGGTTGTCACACTCTTGTTGCGTGTAGTTGTTAATAGTAAAGCACCACCTCTTGGACGGATTCTCTCAGACTGG